ACAAAAGTGGAACGAAAGTGTAGCGAACTTTCTGTCGAAGAACAATTTTACAACTTAAATTCTCAGGAACGGGACAAATCTTCTCTGAACTATTCCCGAAGAATGGAAGCAAGATCGAAATTTTTCTCATAGCTCTGAATTAGTTTTAAATTTTTGAATATTATAATTAATCAAAAAAGGTCTGAAAGGTAATTGTGCAAACTAAATAAACGAAAGACTTAAGACACGAACTTCTTGCGCAGAAAATGAAAAATTATGCCATAAGTGGACAGTTCACTACTAACAATTTAAATGTAAAATTAGTAATTCCGAAAAGCTCCCAATTATTGGACGATGTAGTGGTTAGCAGTGCGCTCTACCATTCCGCAGGGTCTGGGTTCAAACCCGGTTCAACCCAACAGAAAAAAAAAACAAGTTTTTTCTAATAGCAAACCTCCGAGTGTATTTCTGCCATGAAAAACAGCTACTCATAAAAATACAATCGCCGTTTGGAGTAGGCATAAAACTGTAGGTCCCTCCTCTTTGTGTAAAAACTTCAAGACGCACGCCATAAATCGGAGGAGAAGCTCGGCCAAACACTAACATATGTGCATATAAGGTCATTATGAATGTTTTAGGTACAATTTATGTACCTACTAAGGTATCTATGTATGTTCCTTTCTTTTCAAAAATCAACACTGCTGTGTACATATGATAAGCGCCGCCGATGTTGCCTCGGTGCTAAAATGAACGAATTCAATGCTGCCGCCTGCTCGTCGTTGATTTTCGCTGGGTAGAGTCACGCTAGCATTACCGTCGTGTACATAAGTATGTGTTTGTTGTGTGTATGTACAGTCATGTGTAAAATATTAAGACCACACAAAAAAGCGTTCTTTGAATATTGATTGCTAATACCCAGCCCACATTTGTCATAGTGACTACTTAAAACTAAAAGCTTCTTTGATCAATCAATAAACAATACTAGCTTTAATTAAATTTGTTTGTTTTAAACAGATTCAATTAACAGAGTTTTTCTCCCGAGGTATATTTTTTTAACCTGTAAATTTCAAATTGGTATAAAATTATGTATCTTTTTGCTTTTACTTATTAGTGAGGATAATTGAAGATATTTTCATAAACTATATGTGCTGCTATATTGCTTTATTTTGTTTTTAAGAGCTTCCAAGGTTATTGAGTAAATTCCTTCTCATTTAAGTTTTTATATTGAATGAGAATTTTAAAATATCAATATTATAAATAATTCTGACTTTACATGAAAAAGTTTTAATTTAAATATTGTGAGTTTTGACAGTTCAAATCATCAGGATTTCGCTTGGTTGTTTTAATATTCGACACATGCCTGTATCTACATACACATATATATATATATTGTATGTACTTTCCGGTGCTGTTGGTGTCGTTGGCAAAGGGCGACGAGCTATCTCAGTAGAGCAAAGGCAGCAGCAGCGGATTACTTGCTTTGCCTTTGCCATTCAATTGTAGTAAGCGGCAGAGGCAAACGTATTAGTGTGACCAAGAGCTAGTGTAGTGGAGAATAAACGTATAGCAAAAAAGAAATTCTTGGAACGCAAGTTGCCTGGCGGGGGCAGCAAGCAGCGACGTCGCATTGCCAACAAAAGACAATACCTTACAAAGCATAAAAACGTGCAGTTGATATAGCAAGGACGAGAAGGGAAACCGTAAACATAGCAGCTACAGTGGCAATTGTGAATTAATTCATAAACTTTTTTTTTTTTGTGTGAATACATACATACATACATACTTACATATCGCAAAAAAAGAAAACAATTTGTAATTTTGTCAGCAGGGGTGGGGGATGATACAGCAAAAAAAAAATAAAAAAAAATTGTGCAAGTCAAATCGGCAATAGTCTACAATTTTTCTTTCGTCTGCTTGGAAATGTACATCTGTTTGTATAAGTTTTTGCATTTTGTGGCAAATAACGTGTGCCGCCGAGTCGTTTAATGGTATCTGTCTGTCGTTCAGTCTGTTGGTCGTTCGGATTTCATCGTAGAAGTGTCGCCTTCAATGGTGTAGACTTTTTGCTCATGCTCCTCGTTCAAATACATATGTACATACGTACATAGGTATCTTTTGAGGGAAAAAACGTAAATTGTTTCATTATTGAATTCTGAAAATAAAAAGGCAAAAGTAAGCGCCGGCACGTCAAACTAAGTGGGTGAATTGCTTTTGTTTTCATAAATTTTCGACTGATGTTATCAAAGCCTGTGAAAAAAGGGAGTATGTAATGTGTTTGATGAAGTCCTTTTTTTGTGCGAAAATGTTTACATACATACAAACACTCTGTTTTACAAATGGGTGTTTTCCCGATTAAATGACTGCATAGAAATGTTGTCGTGTAACTTTTATCAACAAATATTCCTAGATGCATGTGTACATATGTACATAGTAGGCATGAGTGTTTCGGTACTGTTATTTCCTTTTTTTAGTATGCCTCAACACCCCCCAAAAAGCCGGCTTTTGAAAGCGCAGAGCCTTTTTTTGAAATTCTACTTTCACTGAAATATTTTTTCTCTTTTCGCAAAAAAAGAAGAATGTGAGTATGTACCATATGTAAACTCATATACTACATACATACTTCCTACATACATATGTACGTATTTGCGTCTAGTCATTCATTGTGAATGAATTGCAAACGAATCAAATTGGCAAAACAAAACAAATTTGGCATCGATGCTTCCATATGCACATACATATGTATTTATGTTTGTATGTTCGTACATACCGTTTGTTGCAAACGTCTGTTATCAGTCACTGATGTTTAATTACCATGGGGTTACCATTAAATGTTTGTTTAACAAGAAATGCTTAAAATTTTTATCATCCTATCCAATGGAAGAATGAAGAAAATGTAAGAGATGTAGGAAAGAAAACTGCAAGGAAGAGCTAGCATGAGTATAGAGAGCCTGTCAGACGTGGCAATGCAATATATTTCGAAAAGTCTGTCAAATTGAGAAATTCCAGAAAGCACTTACATGAGCAGTCACACCTTGCATGTAAAGTGTCTTTCGAAAGAGGTTTTTTATTTCCGGAATCGATTTGCGCTCTCTCATTTGCAGTCACATCTAGCAACTATTGAAACTGATTTCCGAAATGTGACAGAAAAGTCTTTCTGGGTGTTCACACATCGAAATAAAATTTCTCATTCTCAATTTGACAGCGAATAATTGCGTGGAAAGTTGAAAATATATTACCACGTTTGACACGCTCTTATCGAACCCAGTAGAGGAAACGCGGCAATAAAAATGCGCGCAAAACCCGAGAGCATCATTACATTTTGGTTAATGTACATACATATGTGTGTTAATACATACATACATTAATACACATACATATGTATGCACGTTAAAGGCTGCGTTAGCAACAATAACAACACTTCCCCACTGTTTTATAGCCCCATTCGCGAAGACAAGTCAAAAGGCAATAATAACACAACGGCGGCCGCAATGAATGCGCGAGAAGTGACGTCGACCAACCACACGACCGTGAATGCGAACAGCCGCTTCGCTTCTTGTTAAATGGCGGATCGTTGCTGAAGCTTCTTCTTGTTGTTGCTATTGGCCCCCCTCCTCCTCCCCGTATCAGTGATGAATTTTTTCTTGCCTGTTTCTACTGCACACACACTTTACTAGCTCGTTCGTGGTTCGTTCACCACACATTTTATTTCTAAGCGCGCCGCGTGTAAAATATTTCTGAAAAAATGTCTTTAAAAATAATACAAAAAGTGCTACTATAACACATTGAAAGTAATTACCTACTTAAGTAGTAAAATAAAAGGACATTCATATTGCACCATACGTATGTATGTATGTATGTATGTGAATATGTGCATGCATATTGGCAATAAGCTTAAAGTTGTAACGAATTAATTGTGCCCTTCTACAAGTTTTTTGCGAACAGCTATACATAATTAACAAATTCAGCGTAGTATGTATGTATGTACATAGGTACATACTTGAATGTGAAATTAAATTTTGCAAGACAAATCAATAGAAACCCAGCTTAAATCAATATCTTAAAATAAAAAAATAAAATTACTTTAAAAATAACAAGTTAAGAAATAATAAGTGCCGATAAGCCGATTTGTGGTCGTATTTTCATTGCAATTTTGTGAAAGTGTATTAAAATATCTAATAAATTGACGCAAATGCTGTGCACAACATTAGTGTCGGCATACAAAAATTTTAGCATAACGCCAAGGAGCGAACTTTTAGTGCATAACGCATTTTCCATAAATACGTATAACAAAAATGCGTCAGTACGAAGAGAAATTAGCGTTATCTCAATTGTTACATGGTTTAGGATAACAAAACCTAATTTATCAGCATTATCTGCTAGTGTTGTGCGTCAAGTTCTCGTAGTCACCGCAAATCAGTGTGGTGTATTAACACCAACATAGCCAATGTAAAGGCAATACCAATGTATGTACATACGTCCAAAGTAATTTAATATGCTATGTATAATGCCAAATAGTATTGTATTACATACATGTACGTATGTATATAAAGTAATCTTTCCGCCGCACCGCGTACCTATATGCCTTAAAAGTCGTGCAATAAAAATTTTAAAAATTAATTCATACTTATAAATAAAAATTAGTAAAAATTTAATTTGTTAATTCAAGTTGAGAGTAACTACGAAAAATACGTAAAAAATGCATAATATTGCGTTGAAAGTGATCATATATTCTCCAATATAGCCGGTAAAATCAAATAAAAAATTACATTGAAAGTCTTCCGTAAAATTCCGCAACGCGAAAACATAAATTAAAACATTTAAAAATCTTTTCATCGTGTATTTTTATAATTATCGGTATACGTTGGTGCGCCGCCACCCATTCGCCCACCAAAATGTCAGAGCATAGCGCGTGGGGCAACCGCCAAGCGACCGCAGCCGAGGCCGCCCTTTGGTGGCCTGGCGCGATCGCGGCGGCAGCGTCACAACAACAACACCAACAACAACAACCAACCATTGATCAGCAAACTCTTCAACACTATCAGCAGCAGTTGGCTGCGCAGCAACAACAGCAGGCAGTACAGCAACAACAATTGCAACAACAGCAGGCCCATCAAGTGGTCGTGCAACAAAATCAACAGCAAGCACATCAAAATAATGCCAACACCACTTCTGGTGTAGGCACCCAACAGTTATTTACCTATAAAATGGCTAGTAGCTTCCCAAATCCAGCCACGACCATGGCACAGGTGGTCGCTACCTCAAATGCGGCCGGTTCGACCGGCTACGATTATCGTCTTAATATGGCACAAGCAGCTGCTGCGGCAGCGGTACCCGGTTCACAGTGGTGGTATTCGGCTGCGAATTCTGGACAGATAGATGCCAACACCGCTGCACAGTTGCAACAGCAACAACAACAGGCACAGCAACAGCAGCAGCAGCAACAACAGGCACAGCAGCAGCAACAGCAACAACAGGCACAGCAGCAGCAGCAACAGCAACAACAGGCCCAACAGCAACAACAGCAAGCGGCACAACAGCAACAGCAGCAAGCTCAACAGGCACAGCAACAACAATTGCAGCAACAACAACAGAATGCCGCAGCGGTGAGTGAAAAAAATCTTATCTTATCATTTATTTATGTATTTATTATCTCCAAATTTGATATGTTTGTACATACATATATATGTATGTATATGTGTGGACCTTAGTTCACAAAGGCCCTAACAACAATCTTTTTATTTTACAGGAGAAGCAAAAAAATTAAAAAAATAGTATCAAAATCAGGTAGGTCAGTGGCATGTAACTCCCTTGTTTTTGGTAATAACACTTTAAAATTTTTATTGAAGGTGTATTTCAATACATCCTACCAAAATCTGTGAAAAGTGCAGTTTTGAAAAAAGTGTTGGTTAGCGCCTTTGTGAATTAGGCGAAGCGCACATAAGCGCGATTCTGATGTTGCGCATGCGCAGAGCCAAAAATTACAACAATATTTTAATGAGCTAGCGGACATTTGCAATGTTCCTCTCTTTTCACCCGTTTTGGCACCTCAAAGCTAACCCGCCGTTTACATGAGACAATTTTGCCAAGACAATAGCACATTCACACTTTTTCACTAATACATTCACACTTCTCTCATTGTCTTCGTCACCGTCTTTAATTTTTCGAAGACAGTGAATTGGACAGTAAATTGGACAATTCGGTCACGTCTTGGTTAATTTGAGAAAAAGAGACAAGACAAAATCGCAAAAAAATTGCAGAATTATGAAAAAGTAGTTTGTTTTTGGATATTTTAGTAAATAATATGAAATTCACGTAAACGACACTAAAGTCGGCTGCTGGAAAATGTATTGTCTTTATAATTGTATGGACGCCTACTTTACACAACAATTTGACAACTAATCTCAATTGTCTTGTCTCAAATTGTCTTATGTAAACGCAGCGTAAGGATTGTTGGCAGCCCTGGTGCTGATAATGAAGAAAATACACTTGTTACTTTGGTTTTTATCAAACTACACCCTGCAAAATTGAAAATTCGCTTTGTTAACCCCTACAGCTCCAACATATTTTACGAATCGGTGCGCTCTTTCGGCGGAATATTCAAGAAAAAGGTTGTAGAAAATGCAACAATTTTTAAAAAGTTGTCCTTTATACTTTGAAGGTTGACCTGAACTGTTCTAAAATGCGAAATCACCGTGCAAACCTGCTGTACCCTCTTTACGATCAATAATTGTCCATAAAAAAATAAAGTTTTTCGCCGGACTTTCCACCACTTTCTATTCGTCCTTCCAAAATTAAATTTTATTAAATTCCGAACACATTTTTGCAATACCTGTTTATTAATGTAAATTTTTTGTACTCATCATTCCTGGGCGTTTTCAAATTTTTTTCTTTTTCATTTAATTTTTAGATCATATTTTAAAAAGAAAAATGCATATATATTACAGAAGCGATCAACTAATTAACAACGAAATTCAGAATGATATTGTTTATTAATTTATTTTTAATAATTTTCATTTAAAATATAATTCAATCTATAACAGAAACCACAATAATAAAAGTTTAAAAGCTTGTACAAATTGCAAAAAAATTAATCAAACTTCAAAAAATTGTCATAAAAATTTCAAAATTTTTAATTAGAATATTTAGAAAATTTTCGGGTATGCATTTTTATAGCCCATTCAATTGTAGTATAAGAAAGTGCATGTTTCTAGTCATTAAAAATGACCGTTGACTTTTTTGAATTTTTTTTTGTGGAGGGTGCTGCGCATTTTCTTCCATATAACACATGATCGAAATTTTATTTTATATGAAAAAAAAAATAGCAACACCTTCCACAAGAAAATACATACGCACATTAGAATGGTCCAAAAATACATTTGAACAAGTAAAGTCGGAATTTTTATGCTCTCCCACCCCCGGTGTTTGTTCTATACCGAAGAAAATATACCTATATTTTTTTATTTTGAAAATAAAAATTGTTTAGTGGTCGCACAAAGCGCTCAAAATTTTCCATGTACATTTTTTAAATGGAAAAAACCACTTTGCGTAGAAGTGGTATAGATGGTTCTTGAAAATCAGTATTTTTCAATCGGAAAACTCTGGTTCTTTCAGGAGATTCCTAATAATACTCCATTATTTATTTAACCATTTTTTCATAGTAACTATATTTTATAGGTCCGCCAAAAATAAAAAAATAAAAAAAATTTTAGTATTAAAAAATTGTTAAATAAATTGGATATTACTATTGGAAGTCTCCTGTAGAGAATGGGAGTTTTCCGATCTAAAAATATTCATTTTTAAAGATTCCATACCATTTCTACGAAATGTTGTTTTTTTCACCTTATGAGATACATGGAAAACTTTGACCGCTTTGAGCGAGCGAAAATAAGAAATAGTCGTATATTTTTTCGATATAGAACATTCCTAGGGGGTGAAAGCATTAAAATTCCGACTTTATTTATTTTGGACCACCCTAATGTGCATACAAATGTAATCAAATATCAAATGCCTAAAAGGTCAATGCCATCAAAAAGTGTTTTTATCCGTTTAGGTTTTCTTTTAAAACGCAAGACGCCTAATTAAAGTTAAAAGATTCAAATTTATATGTAAACAACCTACTCATACACACGACCACAACTTTTCTAGTAGCTACTACATCTAAACATCCATGTGAACATACTGAAAAGGCAATGAACGACCTAGTTTGCATATTTTCGCCCGTGATTTTTGTGGCTTTTTTACCACACAAATTTTTATTTTTTACAAGCTTTTTTTCGCACCCATTCACATTTATTTTTTGTCACCCCACATTCATGTCAAACAAGTACTAAAAAGTCATATGCAAATTTGTTTGCAAACAGAAAACAATATACTACGTACATACATACATACATATGTACATGGTATGTTTGCATGCCATATGTATACAAATAAAATCTATAGCAAACAACAACGCAGATGGCAAAAGGCATGCGCGTAACTATGCCGGAAAATAACGAAATACATACTTGAGTTATATGTACATATGTACATATATGACGTAATGTCGTAAATACACATCGGATAATAAAAAATATAAAAAAATTGTTTAAAAAATTTCAAAAATTAAGTCAGATAATTGTGTTCAAAATTCAGGCGAGGCTCTATTGACATTCGGCGAGTGTGGCCACGTGAAACATATTCATTATATTTGATCTACATATGTATATACATATGATATGTATATATTTACACAAATATTTATCTGTTTTTACTATTTTTATCAACATTTTATACTTTCATTTAGTGATATCTTTTGTTTGTTTATTGATAATAGATAGGCTTTTATAGATGTGGTGTGTGTGCTACCTTTTCAAAAGTTTTAATATTTTTGCATTTATTGCCATTTCGTACCGAACTTAAAGTTTTGTATTGTAGATACCTAATGAAATTTTTACTTTTACTATGCGAGAGATGTGTACTTTTTAGACCAGACACTTCGCAGACAATAGTACAAATAAAAAAGTAAACGATGAATAAAGGAAATGCTTGATTCCTGTAGCGCAAGCAACAATTAAACGCTGCCCACAATTTCAAAACTCTCGCTAAACAAATGTGAAAATAAAGAATCCTTGACCGATTTTTTTTTTGCTCTGATATTGTGTGGTGAGTATGTATGTATTTATATGAGCATAAATACATACATATGTACATAAATGTGCAGCTTGGTAGACTATTTGTTTCCAGCAAAGTTGTATACATTCACGTTTATGATTTCTTTTTAATTTTATTTGTGAGTTGAGGAAGTTACACATGTGTGTACATTTTTTAGGAATTTTTGTTTGTATGTGAATTCGATTTTCTCGGGTTTATTTATCAGTTGTTCCCCACAAGAAGATATTTTTTCGACAAAAAATCTTATATTTCTGAATATAGTTTGCTTTTTAACCGACTTCAATTCGTCGGATTTTTTTTATGTATGTCAACGGACAACTTTGGACTACGTGAGCCCCTTTTCGATTATTATTTTATCGGATAGCTGCTATCTCAAGGGTGGTCCCACATTTAGTCCAGTATTTTTCCAATTTTTTAATTTATTCCTTCCATATACATACATATGCAAAAGGTTTTCTCAAGGTCCTTAAAATAGTTGCTTTAACAGCCTATAATTTCACAAAGAGATTTCGGCGAATGATGCTGAAGTGACAGTCCTTGGCCTGCTATGAATATGGGTGAGGGAGGGGGTTACGTAGCAAATTTTTTCTTCGCCAAATGCGATCGTCTTTGCTTCAGATCAATGTCAAATCTAACAAAATAATATTTCCCTATGAACGTTTTACCGCTTTCAAGATAATCGGTATGCATCCCAAAAAATTATTGCGCTTTTCTTACGCTTTGAATGCTCCTTGGTCTATGGTGTATTGTTATCGTCGGACACTCTTTTGAAACAGAAACACAGTTGCGTTTTTGGTCGAATGTAAGCAATAACGGCACCAATCGCTCGGTTAACTTTTTCATGTTTAAATAATTATCGAAAATGTGATGTACTCATTCAGTTGAGATGCCTACAGCCTTAGTCACCTCACGCACTTTTATTCTCATATCCTCCAATATTATTTCATGGATTTTATTGACAATTTCCGTCAATTTCAATGGTACGACTACAATGGAATTCAGTAAATCACTTCTTAACCATTGAAATTAATGAATTAGGAACTTGGTCAAAATTTAATAACCCGGACGTTACACGAACAATTTTCGCCTCTCAAGTTTCAATAGATACACTAACTTTTTCACTAACGCACAATATACATATATATGTACATATATATATGTATAATATGTTGAGATAGGGCGTTTTTGAACCGAGGTAAAATCGGAGAACGTATCAGCTGACACGATCTACCTTATGGGATTTGTGGTTAACGAAAACTCGCCACCGCATGACGGTGACGTTGCCGTTGCCGTTGCTTCTCCTTCTTTCTATCAACAGTAAATTTTATATGTGGCTCCGTCCGTCAATGTACGTTTAGGCTACGTCGTTGGCTGTCAGCGCTTTCTGAAATAGGGCGTTCTTGAAAAGTTTTCTGAGATTGAGCGTTTCCGAACTGGCGACCGAGATAGGTCGATCTTCCACTCAGCCGTCGATATGGCAGTTTATAGGAGCAATGTTGCTATTGCATTTAAAATTGCTAAACTATTTCAATTTGGCCGATTCTTTTGTTTTTTG